TTATTATTATTATTACCTGGGTATAGTAACCAGAGAGGCAGCAAACGGACAAACAAACAACAACAGATTGCCGCCACAACAGGGACATAATTATGTGTTGTTCCCATCAGTTCTCTTGCTTCAGTTATCACTTAGTTTGCGATATAGTAGATCTAGTCGGTATGATGTAACTTGAGTCTGTGAGTGGTTGGCGTGTGCTCTGGTGTGGTTTGCTTCTTCTTTCCTATGAGACATCTATCGTCCTTATCTCCCTTTCTTCTTTTTATGTTTCTTACTCTCTTGTAACACCTGTAATCTTCTGGAGCTCATATGACCTAATTCAATTGCGAGCGCCGTTAAACCTCTACTAAAGCTAAGAAACTAAACTTAGTTTGCTATATAGTAGATGTAGTGAGCATGATGTTACTTGAGCATGTCCCCTCGTGTGTCCCCAGACGGCAGTGTACACCACAGACGTGCACTCACAGACAACGGCGCCCCACAGACTGGCGAGATCAACCAGCACACGATGTTGTGCTGACTTCTTCAAGAAAGAAACAAGAGCCCGTGACATGCTCCGCTGAGCAGTTTCAAAACCTGGAGAGTATCCATACGCACTGATCTGCCAAAACTGCACCACCACCCCCCAACCTCTCCCCGGAAAAAAACTCGCCCTTTTCCACCCAACCATATTCCCAACTTTCCCCTTCTATAATATCGCGTAACTCTCAGAAGAAGACAGGCTTCACTACATATATCGATGGGGTCGTAAAACCCCCCACCGACATTTAAACAAAAAGAGGGGGCTCATGTCCGCCTGGCGTTCCCGTGCAGCCTACAGTGGGGCCTGTGGGAACACCACCCGCAAGCCGCCCAGCTCATGACCCCTGGAGGTCAGAGTCGTCTTTCCAGTGTGCGTCTCCTCACCTCCGCCATGGCTGACCCCACGACCACCGGCCAGGCGCAGGCCAGTCCAGACTGTGGTCACTCACGCACGTGCGGGGAAGTAGCTCACGACCAGAGTCCAGACACGACTCAGGCTGACCAACAACCGCCCACCTGCTGCAGCTCAGACCACGTGACCACCACATCCTGCATCATGTCCCCAAACACAGAGTGTGATGACAACACCCAGACGTGCATGGTCGGGGCAAAGGTGACGGGGTTAGAGGGCATGGATATACTGCGGCTCGGTGAGATCAATTACTTCCAATTCTCCATCTCCCCTGACCTGCTGCGTCATCAACAGCGGGTGGGTCACTTGACACTGAGGCCCGATGACGTAATCACAGTGGGTTTTCCCAGGTCAGGAAACCACTGGACGTTTGAGGTGGTCAACATGATCCTCCACCAGAGGGTGGACTTCGAGAAGGATCACTTCTACTCCCGGCTGCTGGAATATCTCGGTGAAAATATCCAAGAGAGACTCGACTCCCTGCCCTCCCCGCGCAACATGACCTCGCACTACCGCCTGCACCACCTGCCGGTCCAGGTGCGTGAGCAAGGGGTCAAGGTCATCTACGTAATGCGCAACCCGAAAGACGTGCTGGTGTCCCTGTACAACTTCAGCGTCAGTCTCGCCCACGAGCGGAGCCGCTTCTCCGGAACCTGGTCGCAGTTCCTCGACCTTCAGATGGCCGGAGAGTTCCCCTGGGGCGCCTGGTGGGACCACGTGAGCGCTGCCGAGGCGTTCATTGGTCAGTTCCCCGGGTGCCCGGTGCACGTGCTGGTTTACGAACGGCTCAAGCGGGAGCCCGCGGCGGAGATCGGGCGTCTGTGTCGGTTCTTGGCCCGGCCGGACTCGCTGGCGGAGGAGATCGCGAGGGCTACGGAGTTCTCGCACATGAAGGCCGTGCTGAGCAAGACCAAGATGGCGGAGCAGGGCAGTAAACACTTCAAGAACGGTGCCAGTAGCGTCCTCAGGGCCGGCCAGGTGGGCGGCTGGAGGGACTGGTTCTCCGCGGCCCAGAGCGAGGCTTTCGACCGGTTATTCCAGGAGAAAATGTCCGAATCAAAGTTAGCGGCACTCGTCCGACCGTTTATGTGACCAGAGTGAACGCTTAGAATACACCGTGACGGTTAGAATACAATGTGACGCTTAGAATACGCGCTTAGGCGTAGAATACAGCTTAAAATACAATGTGTCGCTAAGAATACACAGTGACGCTTAGAATACAATGTGACGCTTAGAATAGAATGTGACGCTTAGAATAGAATACAAGGTGACGTTTGGAATACAATATGAACGATGAGAATGCTTAGAATACAATTTGAAGGATTAGAACGCTTAGAATACAATTTGAACGATTAGAACACTCAGAATACAATGTGAATGGTTAGAATACCGCGCGCCCTTTCAGCTGACTCACGGCATCTCTCGGTTGTTTACAGTCATATATAAAAGAAATCATACACCCCAGGCCAGTCCACCTTGCCTGTCATCAGACGACATGTGTATTGCATGGGGTGTTCATTTCTACTCAGGTTAATGTTTACTTGTATTTAATTGTGTGCTTCGTGAGGGTTGCCATCGCTTGCGCAGCTGTATAAGGTCATATGAGCGATGTTTTAGTGTAGTTTTAGTAAGAATTTTACAGAGCTCGCAACACAATAAGGTAATAGAAGTGCTAACGATTAGAGGTGTTACAAGAGAGTGACAAACATAAAAAGAAGGAAGAGAGATAAGTACTATTGATGTTTGATAGAAAAGAAAGACAAACAACACCAGAGCACCTGCCAACCGCACACTGAGTGATGTGTATTAAGTACAAAATAAAGAGGTTATATAAGAGCGGGGTGATAGAGGAGGTTGTGATATTTCAACAAAAGAAAGAGATGAGAAAATTGTGTGCTTGTAAAATAGTGTGATATAGCTTTCCGTATGTTCTTAAGAGTTACTTGTTGACCTGGTCCAACTTCCAGCCTCCCTTATATTTTTTTTTACAAAAGGTAACCCGCTCACCCTTTGACTAACTGACAATATAACGCAATAATTCTCGAGTGCAGCTTTGTGTCTCAGCCCAGCTACAGACTTGAACATATTAAGTTAAGGACCTCCTTGAGAGACAGCCGTGGTTTCTAACAATCCGAACAAAAAAGACAGCAAGGAATATTTCAATTTTTTTTTTGCCCTGAAAGTGTTAACGGATTAACAATGCGGATCTACTGCAATGTCTCATAAAGGGACAAAACCACCTACTGGTGCAGTACGGAAATCCTCTGGGAATTTTAGCCAATTTGCAAGTGGTCCTTTTTTTTTTTTAGTAAGAGCTTCGCGGCACTAGGAACACAGTAAGTTCATATAAGTGCCGAAGATTAGAGGTGTTACAATGGAGTAACAAAAACTAAAAAGAAGTAGAGGAGATAGAGACGATAAATGTTTGATAGAAGGAAAGAAGGAGCAAACCACACCAGAGCACCCGCCAACCACCCACCAAGTGATCCTTAACTACTTAATGTTGAAGTCTGTTGTAGCTGTGGGCAGTGTATAAGCCGGTGAGACTGTTCTGGGAGTGTTCGCTGAGAGAGGAGAGATCATCTTGATAGCGTGGAAGGAGACGGCAAAAGCATCAAATACTTCATCATCCTGTCCCTGTGGTTTTATGCACCCCGCTTAATTTAGCACAATTAAAATTTGATTAATTTTTGTGCATAATTCCTGATTATTTTCCTTTATTATTCTTTGTTAAAGTTAACAGAATCACATAATTTCACTTTTTTGGGCTCATTTTGCATAATTTCTGAATTTTTCTTGCATAAAACAACGGGGACAGATCGTCATTAGCTTCATCTGCCATCACAGCATCATCAATATCGGCATTATTATCAAGATTATCGTTATCGTCATCGACGATAGCAACGCCATTCACCACGACCACCAACAAAAACATCATCATCATCATAAACAAAAACAAAAACAACAACAACAACATCATCACCATAATGAAAAACAACAACAACAGCTACTACTACTACTACCACT